AATTTCTGTAAGTGTTAAGAAATAATGTAAACCTTGCAAAAAAAGTCAACCCTTCCTCCATAAGAAATGAGGAAAAACTGTTCAGTCCACCAGCACCACCTGCTGGTTTACCACAGAAGCTGCAGCTAAAAGCCAATAAATGAAATGCGACATTTCTGACTGCAGCTTTCATTTATTTTATTCATGGATGCACATACAGGAGCTGGTCATGAAATTATAATATCATGAAAAAGTTGATTTATTTCAATAATTCCATTTAAAAAGTGAAACTTGTATATTACATTAATTCATTACACACAGACTGATATATTTCAAAAGTTTTTTTTTATTTTAGTTTGATGTTTATAACTGACAACTAATGAAAATCCCAAATTCAGTATCTCAGAAAATTTGAATATTGTGAAAAAGTTCAATATTGAAYACACCTGGTGCCACAATCTAATCAGCTAATTAACTCAAAACACCTGCAAAGGTATTTAAATGGTCTCAGTCTAGTTCTGTAGGCTACACAACCACGGAGAAGACTGACTGGACAGTTGTCCAAAAGACAACACTAACACCTTGCACAAGGAGGACAAGTCATTGCTAAAGAGGCTGGCTGTTCAGAGCTCTCTGTCCAAGATCATTAACAAAGAGGTCAAGGGAAGGAAAAAGCACAGCCTGGAGAGGATTGTGAGACAAAACCCATTCAAAAATGTGGGGGAGATTCACAAAGAGTGGACTGCAGCTGGAGTCAGAGCTTCAAGAACCACCACACATTACATTTGTATTTGCCATAACCACCTGGGCCCCAAATTTTATTGTACATCTTAGAGATTCACTCGTAACATGTTCATGAAATTCACATGTAGGAACTTAWGGTGGGCACTCATGGCTATAGGTGGCCGGATGGCACCACTCTTGCCTCCTGTGCCTGTGCACACCCCCTAAAGGTTTGCATATAGACACTTAGGGTTTTGGGTTAGAGTAGTGGTGGAGGGGAAACTGGCACCACGCCGGCCTCTGCCTCTTCTTCTTTCCTTTTTCTTTTTTTAATTGCTCTATAGAACAACACGCACCAACAGTACATCTGAGGGTGGGGGTGTGGGTGTCAGGGTCTTTATTCCCGTCCCGTTCCCTGACTGCCATTTGGGGAGGGGGTCCTGAAGAAGGGCGGCCTGGGCTGTGGGTAGGCTCAGGGCTTGGACGGTTGCCGGGGCGGGGCTGGCTCTCCATCCTCCCTGGTACTGCTTGGTCTCCTGAGGTGTGGCTCTTAGTTCCTGTGGGTGGCCCCCTGGCCGGGGTGGCTGCCGGGTTCTGGAGGGTGGATGGCTGTAGGGGTGTACTTGGTCATTGGCAGTGTGGTGGGGTGGTCATGGGTGTGGCTTCTCTGCGGCGGGGGGCTGGCCGGGCG